ACAGTTCGCCTCCGTCCATCTCACCTAAGTCGGTTGAGTCTACGTGAGTGACAGTCCAAAGAGCTAGCTCGTTCGTTACCAGTTCATGAAGCCCCTGTTCTATCTTTTGTGGTCTCTCTCTCTCTCTCCTCTATCTGTAGTCTCTATCCCTCACCCAAATATTTCCAAATGTATTATTTGTTCTTTCCTTCTGATGTAAGATGTAGATGTCGGTGTCTTTCTTTCCGTGGGGGTGAGATCTCTGTTCCATGTACATAAATAAAATCCAAGCAAAACCCACCACGGGCTTGTTTTGTAAGCTCATTGCTTACTTCTCTGTCATATTCATCTTTGTCTCTTATAATCTCTACAGTCTACAGCCCATCCCAAACCAAGTACAATACAAGATTTCTCGGTTTCTTCTTCTTGAATTGTAATTAAATCACTCTCTCTCTCTCTAGATCTCTCTCGTGCATAAATTTATTGTACTTGGAATACAAAGGTAAAGGCATGTAACTGATGAAAAATCCTGTTGACCAACTATGCCATTAATGGATTTTGGTAGAAACCAATGCATCTTTAGTTTGATACCCATAACCCATGGCATATTATGTGCTTCTTTTTATATGGCTTCCATGCCTATTTTGGCTTGTAGAAGCAGAAATGGAGATCCTTATCATGTCCATTCACTGAGCAATAATTCTAGATGAATGGCCCATGCCATGATTTTTGTGTGAAGGGAAAATTCCCCATTAGTATCCTGTAATTTGGGTGTAATGCCACTTTGGTCTAAGAACTTTAAAGGCGATAATTTAGTACCCAAATTTTCTTAATGTGTCAATCCAATAACTATTGTTAATCAATCATTAACCAGGCATTAAAGTGGTTTGTAAAAAGACACAAATACCCTTTGAGTGTCATCTAGTTTTCTTTATCAACCCTCCAGATTTTGATAAAGAATGAATAGTCTCAAATCCTTATCTCTTTTATTTAAGAAGGTGACCCCAATTTTGTTGAATAGAAGAGATGGCAAGGATTTGGGATTGTTCATTTTTTGTCAACATTTGGATGGTTGATAAAAAAAAATAGATAATATGCATTCGAAGGGCATTTGTGTCTTTTCAACTGCCACTTTAACGGTTAGTACTAAATTGACACATTTAGAAAGCTTGAATACTGAATTGTCACTTTTTAAATTTTGAAAACCAAAGTGGCATTAGGCACAAAGTACATGTAGTAATCGAAAATTTTCCCTTTTGTGAATTCTGAACAGTTCAAAATTCAAATCAGTTGGCTGATCGAAATAAAACCATCCAATCACCATCTGCATCTGGTCTAATCAAGATACTTTTAATTTGCAAAATTATTAACAGAAAAATCAAAGGCCCACAATGTGGGCAGTGGGGATAATACACACAAACAACAGAGTATGCACAATATATATATATATATATATATATATATATATCATGGTCTCATATATCAATCTATTCTTCCCAAATCCAATATATTTCCTCTGCAATTTCTTGAGAAGAGGAGTCACTTTTGTGATAGCCTCAGCCACTACGCCTCTATTGCTTAAAATGCCTTTGATATCAAATCACACAGCTCGGTAGCGGAGTGGCTCCGGTCGTTTTCGGAAGAGAAAGGTGATGGACTCGTGCATGGTAGGCACAATCCACAAATAATGAGAAAGAGATCTCAGTAGTGCAGGGTAGACAAGCAATGGCGTGCGTGCAATTGCAAGTATGTGATGGGCTGATGGTAATGGCCAATAGCTAGATGGGAGAGGCCAAGTCATACCTGCTTTCAATAAGTTATGGCAGTTGCAAGGATCAAAATTTCGTTACGTATTGGCCTATCGATTGATATATATTATATCGAAGTCTCTTCGATATGCCCTTATAGGGAGTGTTTTGGATCGACGAATGATTCATAGAATAGACCGGCCTTAAACTGACCCCTTTAAACTAATTTCAAAAAAAAAAATAAACATATAAAAATAATATCGATATAGACCGATACACCCTACCGGTGTATCACCCTGTATTGATATTTTGAACCTTGGGCAGTTGAGAATAGTCTAATAAGGTTTGATGGGCTTTCGGACTTGGATGTTGTGATGGTATAAAAGAAAGTATATAAATTAAAATTAAGAAAAAGGAAATTGAATGAACGAAAAAAAAAAAGACACTTTTATCATCATTATCTAAGCCTTATCATGAATCCTTTCATCTTTTCATTCTGATTAATCTCATATCCATTATACCATTTCTAAATTATTGTCACTTAAACCATTTCTTATTATTTGGACCCCATGTCCTTTTTTATCTAATCTCTATAGTCCCTCGAATTTGTAATAAATGTGCTGTCAAATAAACAAGTCGATCATTTTATAGACAAATTTTTAAAAGAAAAATAATAAAGACGGGCCTAAGATTTAAACAGAAGTTTGAAGTAATAATGGATCAAGCATCATTTTAGGCTATGTTTGGTTTGAAGGAAAAGGTAGGGAAAGAAAGAATAAGACAGGAAAACCAAAACAAGGTTTATAAAGATTTTCTTACCTTTCCCTACATTTTTCTTCAAACCAAACATTGCCTTAATGACAGTTAGGGATGCATTTTGTAATTATGACTTACACTCTTATAGATACAAAAATTTCACCTTTTATCTCATTTGTACTCTAACAATTAATCCAAATCTTCCCAAAAACTGAAGTGAATTTTGCACCATCTTGCTCTTACCTCAATTCTCCCTCATATATTATGGGGGCCGCATCATCTTGTTTCCTACCCCAATCCCAGAAAAATAATCTGTTTTATTTCTCACCAACAAATAAGAAAAATCAAATAAAGTAAACCAGAATTTAAACTCGGTCTATTTGCACCCCGTTCATTTACACCAGTACAAATGAAATTCGCACACAATCAAACTAAAATTAATGAATCAGAAACGAGCCAAGCAAACCAAAATTCAGTTTTACATGTGTGTGGATTATTTACACTACTTTGCATTTGCATCACAAACAAACCAGGCAAAGCAAAACTGAAGCAAAAATGATCAGAAATGAACTCTCCACATTTGCATTCCTATACATTAGAACAAATGTAAAAGAAATTTACTCTCACAACTATGCATTTTTTAAGGCAATTTACACTTCACAAATAACCCTTCCAAACGAGTAAAAAATTAACTTGTGCTTAGAACAAAATAGTCCTTTTACAGGGTGATCGTTAGCTGTGGTAGGAACGGAAAAGAATTATATGTTTATCTTCAGAGCCTGGTTCCAATATGATCTATAGCTACACATCTCAAACATGTTCCATATTTGTATGTATAAGTGCAGTGTGGTCCATGCCGGGCCAACATGACACGGTTTTGTTGTATTGCCCGTACTTAGTGGGTCGTGTCGGTATGGTCCAATAGATCAAGGAAGGAGCGCCCCAAATCAGGCCGGGCTTCCCGGGAAAAATTTTTATATATGAACGGGCCCATATGGGCCATGGGCCATGGGCCTTGCTAGTTGTGGGCCTCAAACCCCTGGCCCAGCTCAGCCCGGGGTATGCATGGCCCACATCTTCCCGTTTTATACCTATATTTGCATGTTGACATTGATGGGTGCATGTACAATCATGCTTGAGATGTGTGGGTATAGATCATGTGGCACCTGTACCGTGTTGGTAGCAGATCCGGACTATTTACTTATTGTTTAGTACAAAATTCATTACATTGTCGCAAATTTGGCTTCTTGTTAATCTAAAGGATCTTTCTCCCCTCCTTAGTTCTAGGGTTGTAAACGGATCGGATTAGATCGGATTCAGTAATCCGATCCATTAATAAAATCCGATTGATCCAAATCCGATAAAGATTTGTCGGATTTTTAAAAGCATTATTCGAATTTGAATTCGATATCTGATTCGATTATAATTATATTTATATTATGTAATATAAATAATATATTATATTATTTATATAATATATAATATTTCATAATTGACGGATTAGATTGAGTTATAACAGATCGGATTAGCCAATATCCAAATTCAATCCATTAAATTAACGGATTGATTTATCCGATTCAATGCAATTTATTAGAATCAAGAGATATCCGAATCTGCTTCTTAACGAATCGATATCGAATTTGAATCAAATCTGGTCCAACTTATTTACAGCCCTAAGTAGCTCGGCCTTTGCATCCAGACATGCATAAAACGCCCTGTGGGCTTTGGCTTCAGCCTCACCTAATCATCGATGACAAAAGAGGTCGCCATTTCGCCGGGATTCTAAGATACGATTTGAATCTATCGTTTGGTCAGACAACTTAAAATCTACTAAAACCAACAAAAGTTGGTGTGTTTTGTTTTTTAGCAAGATAATCCCAAAATTTCTTCATGTCAGACGTAGGAAATTAATCCCTTGGGCAAACTTATACGGATAAGCTTCAGACCTAATCGAAGACATCACATCGAATCCTAGAAGAAGAAATATGTAAAATTGTGGGTCCGATCCAAAATTGATAACTGCAAAAAGACCAAAAGGCCCAGTCCATTTCAGTCGTTGGATTCATCTTTACATATCTGTACAAGTTTATCTAAGGTATCCTAGTTCTCCTTTCTAATCTATCACTTCCTTTACACTTTAATTTTCCTTGGTAGGGTATCCAAGTGAATCATCATATATTTGGTATTTATAATATAGAGAAAATATTTAAATATGTTTTGGTAGGATAAATATACACGGATGATCAACTCAGAATCTCAGGTGTTCCCCTAATTGATGATAGTGCGTCAGATTCAGATAGGTCGTTATATCAATATGGTCTGCCACATCACCTCTCCACGTGGAAAAACATGACAGCGACGTGGACCCATCATAAAGGTCTCGACACAATAAAAATCTGTACAAAAATTTGAACATTTGTTCCATGCAATAAATTGCACAAAACAAAATAGCGTGTACAAAACAAACAAACAACGAAAATTCCTCGCTCCCGCTTCAATAAGAACCCCGAATTATTCCAGCTATAAAATGCCTTCCATTAATCCCTTCCTTCCGGAGTCCATCCCCCCAGACCAGACGCCGAGGTGGTGGAACTGGAAGCAACATGTCAGAAAGGGGTGAGACAGTTTACTACTCACCCATACCTCATTCCCCTCCACCTCCAGAGCCCCGATACCAACCACCACACAACATGTCAGAAAGGGGTGAGACAGTTTACTACTCACCCATACCTCATTCCCCTCCACCTCCAGAGCCCCGATACCAACCACCACCACCACCTCAGCAGAACTACATCGTCCTTCCTCTCTGTTTCCCTCCAAGCCGGCTTCGCGTCCTCCGGCGTCGTCTCATCGGCTTCGGTGCTCTCCTCTTGGTCGCCGCTGTCATCTACGTCATCTGGCCCTCCGACCCTGACCTCAAAATAGTTCGCGTAGGTCTCAGCCATTTCCATGTGCGCACCTCCCCTACCGTCTGCTTTGACATCTCCATGGCCCTCACCATTAAGGTCCGCAACAAAGATTTGTTCTTCCTCAATTACAGCTCCATCGTCGTTTCGATTGGGTACCGGGGGAAGCAATTAGGGTTTGTCACTTCGGACGGTGGTCTTGTGAGGGCGAGAGGTTCTTCTTACGTGAACGCTACGCTTCTGCTAGATGGAATTGAGGTCTTTCATGATATGTTGCCCTTGCTTGAAGATTTAGCCAGGGGTTCTATTGCCTTTGACACTATTACGGAAGTCCAAGGACAGTTAGGTTTCTTATTCTTCTTCGATATACCACTCAAGGTAATTGCTAATCCATCCTTTTTGTTTGATTCATATGGACTTGCTAGCGAATGCTGCAATTGCTTTATTTTGAGTTTGTAGAGAAAATGGCAAAATGCAGAGGGTTGACTAAGTTAGAGAGAAACCGGAGAGGAGGAGACATTGGAGGTTTAGATTTGTTCTCAAGTTGTTGGAATTTGTTTGGGCTGTTACTTGTTACTAGACACCATGATTTGCGGATGAAGTTTAGACCTTTTAGGCCATAAGGGGTGTTTAACTCTGAAAGGGCTATATTTTGGCAGTTCACAAGATTAAAAAAAAATGATCTTCTACGTATTGATGGAAATATATTGATGAATTATCACCAACAAGTTGATCAGAGAATGACCTATCAGAAAGACAGAAACAATCCCAAGGCCCAAGCGTCATTGCTGAATTCAGTTTTTGCTAAAAACTCTAATGGTCTCTCAGTTTCCCTATCCTATATATTCTCTGTAGAATTAAAATGTTGGGATTTGAGAATTGTAAGGACACGATTGTCTTGTTCTGAAACTATATCTGCCGATGAAGGAGCAGATGTTTTATAACCCTTAAACGCATGTGTAGCACCTCTGTTTTCTATTCAAATCGGAAAGCATATTGCCTTTACCACATTATTCTGGATCATTTGAAACAGTAGATCATTTTCAAAAAAAAAATAAAATGAAACAGTAGATTTGATCCATCTGATAAGGTCGGGATAAGGTTGTCAATTGTTCAATAGGTTCTGTTATTTATACTACCCATGTGCTTCTCCCATCCCTATTTTGTATATCCATATGGAGATTGGTGCAACAGTCTTCAGATATCTTGCCCCCTTTTGTCATTTCTCAGAATGTCTATGAAATTTGTTTCACAATAGTGAGTTATAGAAAGTCCACAACAATTGATTGGGATCCCATTCAATTGAATAGGTGGTAATGCTCCTTAATGGACCATGTAAAAACAAAAAGGACCTACAAGCAAATAACTTCAAATAATTTTCTGGTAGTCGATGGTCTATTACAAATATACTGTTTTATCCGTGCATGGTTGCACCTCAATAGAAGCTGATTTAAGTCATTTGGTGGCACTTTTATTCCTTTCTTAAAGACTTGTATGCACATGGCTAATCTGAATAATTTCTGATGAGATTTAGATAAATTTGACTCCTTATTTTGGCATTGTCACCTCCAAGAATTCAGTTCAGATAAACTACTTCTCTTCTGCGGATGAAGTAATGCAACCTAACGGTTTGTTGGACTCTTTTTAAGTCAGGTTAGGTTCGAGTTCAAGATTCAGATGAAATTCGATAGGATGTGGGTGTAGAATTCTGAGATATAGCATCATAATCTGATTAGTAATCAAAAAGCAGTTGTAGACCCAAGAAAAGGCCTGCATTGTTAATATCTGCAGCATGTTAGCTTAAAAAAGGGGGAAAATTGCAATCATGTTCACCCTAGGATTTCCTTCAAATGACAGCATTATGTTTCTTGGTTGCATCCTTTGATGTTCCATAGAATGAAAACTTTGATTACTGATAGAAAAAGAAACGAAAAAATTATAGCCTTCTAAATTATTAAGCTTCAAAGAATGATGTTTCAGTTAGGAAATTACTTATTTGTTTATTATTTGAGAAAGAGTAACTTTTTAAATCATTAGAAAAGAGAGTATATGAGAAGATGTATAACAGAGCTCACACAGAATCATAAAGGCTGAGATCTTTCTCTATACAAAGAGTCCCTAAGCACACCGGATTTATCTAGACTATCAGCGATGGAGTTCAACTCCCTAGGAATCCAAACTAGATTTGATTCATCTGTCTCAGAATGTCTCTAGCTTCTGTCAGAAAGTGAGTCAGCCTCCACAGTCCACGGTTTCTCTTTTAACCATCTGGTTGTGTTTTCTGATTCACCTTCAATGTCTAAGCTTGTGAGGCCCAGGTCTCTAGTAATCTGGATCCCTGTGAGTGCCACCAACACCTCAACCTCCATCTCTCTCCCTATTTATTCCACCAATACCAGCATTCCTCGAGTTCCCTAAAGCACTCCCGTTAAAATTTAGTTTCATTACCCCTTCACCGAAAGGGTAGGGACCATGGTTGAAGAAGGTTTACTACGTTCCTTTGCAGTTCATTTACTGAGAGTCCATTCGAAATCTTTGAATTTTCTGCCCATAAATTGCAAAGATAAAAGATGTGAGAAAACAAATCTTCAGCAGTCCTGGCCTTGTTATCAAATATCCAACTGTTTCTTTCATCCCAACACCCCACAAGACCACATGGATGACTTTGAGACTAGATTTTCCCTCTGCTACTTAGACCTCTACCAGGCCACTGCCAAAGGAGGTCAAAGTATTTCCAGGAACGGCCCAACTATAACCCAAGATTTTGGGAAATAGTTCCAAACTTATCTTGTTTCCTGATGATATAAAAGGAGGTGTTCAGCATTCTCTCCATCTTTAAGGGAAAGGCTGCAAGCATGGGGGCAAATAGACAGTCTGTTCTGATTCTTCTTATGCAGATTTGCACAAGGTTTAACCATGCAATCTAATTAAATATCCAAGCTTGGTGAAATTATATTTTTGTCTTATAATTGATCTTTGATTTTTGTTCTCTCAGAACAGGAGAAGCATGTCAACAAATTCTACTATTTTTGTCTTGGTTGGAGGGAAAAACTCCCAAGTTTAGAGTTTAGACTATTAGAGGTGTATATATCATACTGTCTGTGTGTCTGTAATAAGCACCAACTTAATGCAAATGTTTGACAAAATGGTTATTAAGTTATAATAATTTTAAGTACATGTTAATGAACATCCATTTTAATATATTTCAGTTGCCTACTATTGTTATTAATAATGTATTAATGTATGCATACAAGAATTAACATTTCCCATGACAGCATGTTGTGAAGGTGTTGCTTGCTGCATCTCTTTGTTGTCTTCTACATCCATTTTCTCCCATTATTTAGCTAATCCAAAGCTAGATTTTATCCATACTTTTGTAGAGTTGTGTTTTTATATTCTAAATTTTTATCAGGGAAAGATATCTTGCGAGATGCATGTCAATACCGTGAAGAAGACAATCATGCGTCAAGACTGCTACCCTGAGGTGAGGAATCATTTTATCTACTGTCCATTGGATAGGTTTCATGTATAAGTTTTATTTAAATTAGATGTTCATGTATCCAACTGGTTTTGCACATTGATGAACTGATATTGGTATATGTCCAGTGACTGGGAGAGGGTATTGCAGAAGAAAAGCCTGTAAGAAATTCAACGTTGCCGAATCCTAACATGTCCTAACATTGCCTCACCCCTTGAGTAAATACTCAGATATGGGTTTAGAATGTATAATGTTATTGAGATAATCATAGTGGGTTATTGAAGAACAGGTTTGATTCTCCTTTCTTAGTCGTCCTCTCCATTCAAAATATCGGTATCGTGTGCAGTATCGGTAAAGGTGGAATGTGTATACAGTGGAAAGATATAAATATAGACGTGGATATGTTGGGGAAATTTTGACAATTCCCACAAGTATGACACTAAAATACAAGGATCCGTTTGGTTTGAATTCGAAATCATAATCAAAATCCCTTAGAATCAGAATTGGAATGGTCTATTCCTCTGTTTTGGTTGAGATAGGAATTGGAACCAGAATTAAAATTAATTGGAATGGGAATGGGATTTCATTCCGAAGGTGGGGGAGGCCATTCCCTGGGATTCCGATTCTGCCCAACGATTGAAATAACTATAAATAAGATATAAATACATAATAAATGTATAATGGTCCATATGAAAATTGAAAACAATCAAATGGTCAATAATATTGCCAGTTTAGAATATGTAGATATCATACAATACCAATAATACATAATATAATGTTTGAGCTTCCAATTTGTTAAAAATTCATTTCAAAACAGATTAAATTGTTGATTAAATAAATGAATTTGGTATATCATTGGTAGACCGTAGATCCATGTTATAGTTTTTTCCCTGCAAATTGCAATGAAAAATTATTTGAACTTTATGATTTTTTTGGGGAAAAATTCATAAATCTAACTAGATTGGACTATTGGTTTAAGTGGATATATTTTAACGGTCATATAATATACTGTAAAAAAAAAAATTGAACAAAACAACAATTTGGTGACCTAAGCAAATGGTTACTGACTTTTAGCAGTCTAAAAGTTAGTAACCCGTGCCACTACATGCCCACACCTTCGAATATAGGGAACATATAAGGTCGAAAGTATCAATACGTTGATACGCCGGTTAGTCATATCGGTTTGTATCAGAGCTTTTTTTATATTTTTTTTCGAATCTGGTTGGTTTAGAGTGGTCAGTTTAAGGCTTGGCTATACTCTGAATCATAATTTGACCTGAAACACCTCGGGACGCTTAATACATAACAATATTTTGAACCTTGGACACATGTCAGCATATATATATATATATATATATATATATATAGTTTAATAAGAAATTGAGTTGATGTGTGGAAGTGAATAGGACATTGAGACTATAATTGCTTTCTTGCACTTTGTATCTATGTTTTAGAAGTAACTATCTTATTTCAACAGTTCAACTCAACATTTGTTAAGCACGTCACGTTTTAGGTCCCATTGTCGAGTCTGCATGCAATGGATACCATCCACATCAGAGATAAAGTTCCAAAGTATTGTTATTGATTAATAAGCCCCTCAACCAAACAGTACTTTTCTTATTCCTGCATCAGTTTGGAATGCTATTATACCACGAAATCATCATTTACATTCACAACTAGACCTGTTTATGGGGCGGGTCAGGCTGGGTTTGGATCAGATTTTGTCTATATACCATCAGAATACATTCAGGCCCAAGCCTGAGATCAGCCTGACCATCAGGCTTAGTCTTGAGCCCGAGCCTGACCCTCATATAAAGCCCTAGCCTAGTCAGAAATTTGAAAACAGATTTTTTTTTCTTTTTTATTCAATAAAAAAGTATTTTATTTATATTAAAAACCTCCAAAACTAAAAAATAATAAACACCTCACTATTATTTAAAAAAAAAGAAAAAAAATAATATATATATATATATATATATATTTTTTTTATTATTTAATATATAGTATCATGTCGGACTCAGGCTTGGACTGGGCTTTTTTTGAAAAAGCCCAAGCCCGGCCCGAAAAAAAGTTGGGCCCAGTGCTTTAAGCCCAAGCCCACAGGTCTAAAATTATGACCAACCCCGACTTATAACGGGCAGGGCCATCAGGCTACTTGGCCCATGAATAGGTCTTATTCACAACTATTTGCCCTCCGGATTTCCTACTCACAACAACTCTACCTACACTTATCCACATAATCATAACCACACTTGGAGAGCATCTTATCCTCTTTCTCTTACATGTCATTATGCATGAGGAGATGTTCTCAATGCACGGAGATAGTATTTCGCGAGTAGGTGTGTATAGAGTCCTCCTGAGCAGAAGATCTGAAACCCCCAAATTGACTCCATTATGGCGTGGCCCAAAAAAGTTCTCCATTCTCTATGTTAATACCTTTCCAACATCTATGTCCCCTGCATGGATGGTTATTCAGATGAAACAAACAACGACATGGGCCGGTGAATCCGGTCAGTTGAGCTAGTAAAATGACAGTTTGACCTATCGAGCGTTTATTCATGTTCTCTTAATTTTTAGTTAAAGAAGATAATAATTATTTTAATCATAAAAAGAAATTGTTAAAGGATAATAATACATGTCTACGTGTTGTCAACTTTTCCGGGGCATAAAAGTTAATAGATGGGTATTAAGTGATAGTTCGGAACATGAATATCTTGCTGAATAGGAATAAAAAAAGAAAAATTTTCTGATTAGTAACATGTAATTTGCACCTAGTCCCTAAACTTTATAATAAGAACAGTTAATTATGGCATTTGAAAAAAATACAAATATCCTTCAAATGTTATTTAATTTTTTTTATAAATCATTTATATGTTGATAAAATATTAATAGTCTCAAATCTTTGTCTTTTCTTCTATTCAAGAAAGTTGGAATCATATATCAATAGGCATTTTGGTGACTTGCTTATTTACTTTTTAAATAAAAGAGACAATGATTTGGAACTTTTAATTTTTTATTAAAGTTTGGATGGTTGATAAAGAACATTAAATAACTTCAAGGGCATTTGTGCATTTGTGTCTTTTTCAAATGCCATTTAACCACATACTGATTATCGGCAGGTACTAAATTGATATGTTTTAAAAGTTTGGGACCAAAGTGTCACTAGTCGCAAATTATAGTGGGTAGACCTGGCAATCGGGTTGGGTGGGTCGGGTTTGGGTTGGGTTAAGGTATTTCGGGTTGATTTTGGGTCGGATTGAATTATCAAATGCTAGACCCTAACCCTAAATGTTCAGGTTAGGGTTGACTCATGGGTCATTTCGAGTCATCCCAAAAAATAATTGAAATTAAAAAAGATAAAAAAAAAATATCAAAATTAAAAGAATTAACCTTAAAATTCCAAATGTAAAATAAAAATACTTGAGCATTTAACAATTTATTGAGTAAACAATAAAAAGTAAAGACTAAATAGAAAAATTAAAGAGTGAAAACTTCTAACAGCATAAATAACCCCAATTAAACTTGACAATCGGGTCAGTAGGGCATGACCCAACCCAACCCAACCCAGTTTTTTCGAGATGGACCGGGTCGTGGTCATTTTCACATTCGAATAGCTAAATATGAGACCCTAACCCTGTTTTTTGGATTAGATTGAGCCGGATTCGCTGGTTGGATCAACTTTTTGCCACGTCTAAAAGTGGGTACTAATAATCAGGAATTTTACCAAAAAAAAGGACCTTTATAATACCACGAGGCGGAAGTGAAAACCCACGATCCCTTTCTTCAATTCTCTATTTCTCTGTGGGTGACTGGGTGTATGAAGTGGGAAGATAGAGAATGTTCACCTGAATCTGAATTGTTCTTTGTGACACACGACACGAGCTATGGTTTGTGCTCTTTTCAAAGCCCAACATGCAATACTTCGCAAAAGCACCATCAAATACAGACGATCTAATAGACGAGCTAGCGTAGAGAAAAAAAAATGGAGGAGAGAGAAGCAATAAGATAGAGATCGAAAAGAAAAACCCTGTTTTGAAATTCAAAGTTGAGAAAACCATCATGAAATATACTCAGTTCCATGATCCAGTTTACCCTTCAAAGGATTCTTTGTTTGTTTTTCATGCTTAAAAGTTAAAACAAGAGCTTCTAAATTATATTCTAACTACTGGATTTCTGTCGTATACGAATACGACCACCCCATTCATACTCACCATGATGTCGCCTGCATCGGAAAGAACCTGGATGCCGAGTTGGAGAACACACACACCGCCTCGGTGATCCTCCCGCTCCGCCACCACCCTCTGCCGTTGGAACCGCCACCGTAGCCGTAGGCACTTGGGGGTTCATTGCTTCCACCGCGAAGGCCACCTGCAACGCAAACCATCTTTCTTGCTTCGCCGAATCGCCAGGGCTGATCAAGGGAAGACCTGGGTGACACATCTTCACCTCCCGTCAATGCTGTGGCCTGTGGGGAGAACAGAGAAGCCTAAGTTATGGGATTTCCGTCGGTTCCAAGTATATATCTGTATATAGGAGGGAATTAAAGGAAAGCTGGGAATAGATCGATTCCGGGAAACGGATTGATTTTCAGTTTTATCCCAGAGAGATATGTGTTTGATCTTGCTAGGAGGGTAGCGATGAGTTGACAAAAATACTCAAATACCTATCTCATGAGGAATATCTCCAGCCAACACATGTCCAAGACAAAAGCTTGTGGAGAGAGTGGAGATAATTAAGTTCATAGATAGCTACGCGCCCACCCAAGACAAGATTCGACCCAGTCGGCCATGCACCACTCCAAATTCTGTATCATCACTGTTGCCAAATGTCAAATCAACATTAGTTTTTTACCAGAAACAAAGAAATCAAGAGTAAGGTAAATTAGGCAATTGGTAGCTACACGCATCTTTTTAACACACGAAACCAGTGGTGAAGCCGTGAAAGTAGGGTTAGAATTGTTATATTTGAACTCAGAAATACTATAAATAAAAATTAACAAAGAGGAAGTCGTACATGTTATGGTACCGAAAAAGATGTAGTACCTGGCAAATTCATAACAAGTCAATAGGTATTTTCACTTAAATTCCCTTGAGATTTTAAGTGCTTACAAGTATTAACACTGATAACTAATGACTAGGGTTAATTCCAAAATGCATGGAGAGGGAGAGAGAAAAAAAAAATATTAAATAGGTATTGTACCCTTAAATCACACTCAACTTAGCCTACTAATTAATGGCCAGAGCTGGTCTGAAACTCTGAATGAAAATGCTACAAAATAGAAGATTAAGTTTGCATTTGGCATTTTTTA